CGTTAAAAAACACCCGCGTTTCATTTCCCAACAACTTTCGTTCATTAACGACACAATAAAAAAAAAATAAATCGCATAAATATTAACGAGAACCGAGAGGGGGTTGGAAAAGTTCGAGTCTTCGGCTTATTAAAATTCGAGCAAAGTACGATGTAAATGTTTCGAACGACGAAAAGAATGAGAAACGGAACCGGTTTAATTATAAATTTAAAAAGTTGCAGGCTAGTTCTCTACCACGCTCGTAGCTCGCCGCGTTAACGAAGACCGTTGTGCTTCGAAAGATTAATTAACCTGCCCCTTTCGTCGAAACGAGCTTACGGTATATATGTATATACATACGCCGAATGGAACTGTCTCCTGTCTGTCATTAAAAAATCATCGCACCTTTCGCCATTATTCGCGGAACGACCCCGTTCGTCGCTGGCAATCCTTTCCGGTTTCCGTGATAGTTTCACGAGAGTAATAAATCTCTTCTGAGCTCTCGTTATCGAACAACTAATGGACGAATCTTGAATGTATTACGCTCAGACCACGTTACACGAACATTTGTTTTGCAATAGGGGTTGCTACAATTTTAATTACTCCGGTGAAAATTGACGATCGATCTTTGCTGTCGAATAACTGAATAATTTTGCAGTTTTAAATGATTCAACGTTGTACGAAAGTAAATTTATTATAATATATATACTAAATTTACTAATAATAATATGTGCTTGGTGTTTTAAGGGTGAAAAAAATGGAAATAATATTAACTATATAAATTACAAGTGTTGCGACCCAACGCAGGTAGGCGATGGCCGTAACGCTCGTCTTGGGTCGTCGACACGGTCACCGAACCGTCGTAAACAGGGATTCCTGGACAGCTGCACATCACGTGCAAAACATTCGCGGTCCTTAAGACCCTTCTTTATATTTCGCTGACTTCCAGGAATCCAAGAAATAATACAGCCACCAAACCCCACTTCTTCGAACTCTTACTACCACCTCTTGAACCATCTACACCAATAAAAATTCTGCATTTTCCACCAATCACACGAGTCGATCCGTTCGATCTATACATTCACTCATTCACCAGAACACATTCAACCATCAACAAGAACATATCGATCAGTCAGAACACAACCAGTACACACATACATTACATTGGTAAGTTTATATTAAAGTCTAAGTGTGTGTTACTAAGTTGTGTCAATTATTTAAAACACATACTACCACACACCATCGCATCATCTTTCCAACAAGCTCCGTGGTATTAATTTACCAAAAAGCAATGGTTAATCGCGAGCTTATCGCGAGTACGCCCCATCAATAAGCAATTTTCTAATGTTAGGGGTTACAATTTGAAAAAATTTGTCTGCCAAGTGGTACGCAAGTCAAAAAAGATTGTGATAAATTTGTTAAAAGTGTTACAACTGGTGGTTGTTGGATTATTCATCTCCTAACAACTCAATCGTCTGTAATCAAATGTTAACTTACGTCGAAAAAATGGCGATGAAAAATCGCCGATTCGGTTACAAGTTTACGAAGTTTGCTCGTTTAATTCCACGAACAGCACCGTGTATAATCTGGCGTTAGAGTCCCGGGCGAAACGAGATTCGTTCAGGGATATTAACGCTGGAAACTGTGGCTTTATGCGGGCACCGCCGTCTGCGTATTAATTTAGTCCGCTCGAAAACGCGTGAGCAACGCAAAATTCCCCATTTGGCTCCCGAACCGCCAACCGTCCGGTCGTCATAGCGATAACTCGACACTGTAATCCTTATTAATTGTACGACGATCGTTTCTGTTCGTTCGTTCGTTCGCGGAAGCTTTCGAGCTGCTCTCTGATTAACAATCACGTATCTCTGCAACAGTTCCTCGTCGTGCAGGTTCGCGAAAATATTTTCGAATTAACTGCTCGACGCGTAACAATAAAAATTTGCACTGGCTTCTGCCTCCCCCTCCTTCCCTGTTTTTTTTTTTGGTTTGACGACTGAAATTTTACGCGGTGTGAGAGGGCATAAAAGACATAATATGGACTTAAAATGTATCTTGCAGATTTCGTGGTCTCACTACAGACTCCTCTCGATTATTGTCCGGGTTGTTTTACACGATTATTGTCCAGGCGTTATCCCCACCATTGGGAGAGGGCGAGTGACACTTCTAAAGCGTATACTTTGTTGTCGAGGCTCGAGCTTATGGCAAAAAATGAATTTACGAGGGTCTGAAGCATTTCTCCCTATGCGATTATTGTCCCAGTGCGGACCCAAGTTCGGGACGATAATCGAGAAGAGTCTGTATTAGCTTTCAATACTTTTCACTTTCAGCTAGTGACTGATGAACTTCGACGTGCAGTAGAATTTCTATTGTCCGATATTTAGTTTTCACGGATAGCATAATAAAATATGACTATTTCTTGTACACACATTAACCCCTTGGGTACATTTGACGTCTGAGACACGTCATTCACTTTTTTCCCCTAAGAGCGGATGACGTGTCTAAGACGTCAAACCAAAAATTAAACTTTTAGGTACATTTGACATCTGAGATACGTCATTTTTTTTTTTTTATTGATTAATTTCATTCATCAATAAAAATATCACACTCTGCATAATTATTAGTAATGGTTTTTTTTTATAAATTGAATTTATTTCATTTAGTTTTATTTTGTTGTTATTAATTTATTTTTGTTTTGCAATTCTAATTAGTTGAAGACATCTTAATACTACATATGTCACCAATATTTTAGAAATAAATACATTCTTACGTAAAATGTACTGCCTTTACATACTACTCCAAGCAACCAAAAATTATTTCCGTTCCACATGCAAATATTTTCTCAAATAAATCCGTACCCAAGGGGTTAAAGAAGCAAAATAAAGAATGAACAAGCTGCAACAATTGGGGACACGAGATCCGACCATTTGTAAGCGTAAATAAAAAAAGGAAAATCGTTGACAACTCTGCGATCACGTTGTGAATCGATTCGTAAACCTTCGGTCAAGGGAGCCCGATCACAACGTCAAATTGGAAAATTTTTTAACGATGACCGGCCGAGGGGAGGTGGCAAGGTTGTCCGTTGTTATTCGGCCGTTTATCGTCTGAACGAGTTCCGATCGATTATACCATAATGCTAGCATCGCGTAATGAGATAAACGTGTATCATCATTGTTCCATTGGCATTGATTGTCGAAATCGTTGACGCAAATGGAAAAGATTTCAGTAATTGCCGGGCAAATGTAAGAGACAAACGAACGTTTCCTCTCCCGTTGGGAAGGGCGGGCGAATTGCTTTCGGTATAATTTTCTCGCCCCCGCACTTCCCTATTAATTAACATGACGATTTAGCCCCGTGAACACGCAGACACACACACGGATTTGCATTGTACACAGCCAACACAGGGCAGATATTTAATATTCCTCGCGAGAGAAACGATAAATTTTCATTCGGCCCGATATTCAGCGGCGAAAACGTTTCACGTTTGTTCGATGGTGCCCCCACCCCATTCGGTTTATTTGTTTAAACACCGACTTTCGCGACAGTACCGCGTACAGTTAACAATTATATTTCGAGATTATTGTTTCCCGTGTTGAATGGTCAAGTGTATAACCAACTTCAAAATAAACTGGTGATACAGTGTATTTCCCCGTTTCGGTTTTGTTTCATTTGTTTTATGCTGCGTTGCATCGCGTATGCTACTGTAAGCGTCGCTTTACTTGGACTTTCGAACGAATTTCATGTGAAAATCAATGGCCTTTTGATGAATCGATTAATTTAAAATATAGCTGGTTAACAAGCTGTAACGATAAATAATCCGTTGGTTTTTCTCGGGTCTGATATTTAATTTAAGTATAAGGTTTGATCGATTCGATAAGAGTCTACGGGAGAAAAACTGCCACCCAGTTCCATCGCGGTGGAAAAATACATATCTGCGAGGATTATTTTCTAACTGAAAAAATATTAGTTTTTGACGGGCATGTCTCGCGATACGCTAACCAACGGGAACGAACTCTCTGGCAGTAAATTTCAAACACGCCAGCGTGTAGGACCGTTAGAAATGGCGGTAAACATTCTTGAAATATCCTTTTAAAATTTGTGTTTGTTTAACAAAAAGGAATTTTGTATAATTTTCCAGCGAGAAACTTGTAGAATTATCGTTTCATAAACGTGTTCGAAGTGATCGAAATATTTGGATAAACTGAGCATCGAGCCGCCATTTTACCTCGGATTACTTCTCAGCGAGAATATTACAGTAATACTAAAATGAATAAATATTGAAATAATAATGAAATAAACTTAAAAATATAATAAATGGAGTCGGATAAATACCAGTCTAGAAAATGTCTGTATACACTAACAATATTATTCAAATATAAAACGATTTCCCAAAATTGTTTTAATGAAATTAACATAAATTATGAAACACGGGTATATATCGCAGACATAGTATATATTTTTCATTCACATACATTACAATAGTGAACTGTTCGTTAGCATTCCCAATACAAAATGGCGTCATATCCGTCTCTAGACATTCAGCGCAACGATTTTTGCTTCCGTTACATTTATTAATCCTTTGCACTCCGAGAAATTTTTAATGACCTACCAGCAACTCCGAGTCATTTTTATTATGAGCAACCAGCTACTCCAGGACTATTTAATTTTAACACACAATTATACATGCAATGTAACAATAGAAACTCCCATGGAAAAGTGAAGAATATTTTAATTTTTAAATGTATAAAAATACAAATTTCGCCGCAGCAGCGAAGGGTTGAAATTCTTGTACAACATGTTAGTCAAACTGAATTATTCTAAAAAATTGCCAAGGGTATAATTCACACCGTCTGAAAATGTTTAAAGTCTCTAAAAACTCCACGATCCTCCACTTCCGGTTGGTTGTCGCCGTTGCACGCTCGATTTCATCGTTATCCGCCGCGCTAACAATTAAACACCACCGCTAATGAAGGGTAGCGAATTAACGGGGCGTAACCGTGTCTTCTTTCCTTTTTCTCTCGCAGAATGAAGCTGTGGTGGAGTCTGGCGCTGGTGGGTGTCTCCCTGTTGATGATCATCGTCACCGCCAAGGCGGAATCCGATCTCTGGGAGGAAGACGACAAGGAGGTCCTCGTGCGGACTGTTCGTGGCACGAAAGAGCGAGGTAACGGTTATTAAAGCTTAATTAAGAATCCGTGTAGCCGACCGATTCTCGGATTAAATTGATCCTCGAGATACTTATTTCCCCTTACCACCTGCCTGGGAGTTCTATTGATTACTCGGCCGACCTTTGTCAACAGTAATCTGTTGACGCAACCGCGTATAAACAGAGAATCTTTCTTTTGTTAATTGTTTATTTATAAAGGTACCTTTCGGTTATTAGTATTCTCGAAAATGATATTTATGAATTATTTGAAAATGATATTTAGGGGTTTTAATAAAATAAAGTTAGTATTCAACTTTTCAAGTCGAACTTTCACTTGCAATAAATATAGAATTCCTGTCGCTCCCGGGAGAATTATTAACGATAACGTAATTCTGGCGTAAGCAGTCGTTAGAAAAATCGTAAGGGAAGGGGTTAATGAATATTCGTTTCGGTTTATAAACCATTTATATATTTCTTTTTAATTTTCCTGTCCTTCTGACATCCAGAAAGCAAGAAAAACAAATTGTTGAAACGAATAATTCGCGTCGGAAATGGTTAAAAGTTCAATAAGGGGTACAATAGCGCGGACAAATTGTCATTTTCCAGGTCAAACACCTCTAATCGGTTCGATTACGCTTTCTAGTATACGCTCTTTCCTAACGATTCGCTTGGTATCGATTTCGGAATCGCTCGAAAGTAGCCGGAAATTCCGAAGAAGGGAAGAATAAGAAAGGGGTTGGGGGGATGAATGAGGGAAGGCACACGGGGATGAGGAGACGAAGTGGGACAGAAAGTTGTAGACCGACAACGCGCAGCGCCGCGTTGTAATTCAACGCGATGTTCGAGAAGTTGGAATTTCAACGGCCTTCTTTTCGGCGACCCCGTCGTCGTCGTTCCTCTCGTCGGTTGAAAAGCTGCTAGGGAAGAAAAGCCTCCACCGCGGTACGGAAGCCCTCCCCGCCCCTCATTCGCGGCCCGAATAAATTTCTAAGAGCGGGCAAATAATCTTAGCCTAAAGAGTGACAGAGAGAGAGAGAGAGGTAGAAAGTGAGGAAGCATCCCGAAAGATGAGAAAGAGCCGCGCTCGGGCTGAGACAAAAGGGCTTTTCATCCGTGTTACGGAGGGAGCCACGCGAAACGACACTTCAATCCAGCCTCCATCCCCTCCCCACATCGTCGTCTCGTTCGTTTGTACTTACGTTGGTTCGTTCCCAACCCTCGAGCGCTCTCGATCGTCGCCATAAATGTCGCGTTATCGACGGGTAGAAGGGAAACGAAAGTATCGCGGCGTGGTTGACGATCCAGAGGAGCTTTTTATCGGGCGCAAAATGCTAGCGATCGAGAGTAAGGGGAACCCGATGCATCAAATCGGATGATGCGAAATAAAAATTCTTTAGATTGCCCGTTCGATCTTTAGGAGAGTTTCCACTGAGACTTTTCGGGTGTAATTTAATTCGAACACCGATACTTTTCGTACGGTTTTCTTTTATGATTCGTACGGTGACGATTTGTAATATAAGTTTATAAATTAAAGAATCTTGAAACTTCATTCGTCTGCAGGGAAATTTAAATGATTGATCGCACTGCCAATTTCGGGACACCCTGTATATATGCCTCTAACTGTCCAGCGGACGGTGGAAGAGATCGATTCAGAAAAACAAAAGAGAATTAACTATTTCGTAATTAAGGAACTTCCAGGCTATTCGAAAATTCTTCTGTTCACTTGATCGGTCGTGCCACCAATTATCTCCATTGACGTTTCGCATCTGTTGACGTAGCATCCGGCAGCACTGCGTCGTGCAGATACGTGAAGGGTCAATGGTCGGAATGCGACTCGAAAACCAACACACGGTCCCGTACGCTGAACCTCAAGAAGGGCGACAAGTCCTGCGAGCAGACAAAGACGATTCAGAAGAAGTGTAAAAAAGGTATGGGATCCTTGATTGGTAACATTTAATCCACTTTTAAATATTGTTCGTACCTGTGGGAAAAAGATACCACGGTAGAACCTCGATACTTCCTCAGAACTTTATGGCCATTTACAGCTAATATTCTACCCAATGTCTTTTCTATTTATATATTTATCTAACGATCTCTCGCAATTACGTACATTGAAATCGATGAGGTGTAAAGCACTCCTTGTTAGTGTCGCAATCAAGGTTCTACTGCTAAACGATTCCATCGATTATAATCACACGATTGATCGATTGACCCCTGTTCAAAGTATCCAATAATTGCTTTCCATTGGACGTACACAACCCGACGTGTGTTCTGCTAATTAGTACCATTTAAATTAACGGGGGGTCGCTGGGGTCGATCAGCGCGTCGATTCGGGGTCCGGTGTTCTTTAGACAGTTCGCCCGTCCGGCTTAATGGACTCGGTTAATTAGCGTAGAACCCCCGTCGGGAGTGTCTTAATTAATTAAACGAGTCGAAAGAACGGACACGTCGTGTCCTAGTTATCGGTGATTTCGGACAACGGTGCATTCGCTTCTCTGTATTAATCAGCTTGATAAATTCAGCGAGACGAGAGGATCTCGTGGCTCCCGTGGCTTTGAGGACGCACCGTGTGGCACACGATGGAATATTGCCTCCGTTAAATTACTCGCGAGGTGAAGCGCATCGAGGAGAAAAAAAAAAATGGTCGCGGTTAAAAACAAGTTGGAGCTCTGCCATCAAACGCAGCAGAGGGCACGCTACGTTCGGCGCGCGCAAACGTGGCGGTTCAGAAATATATCCAGATTTTACGATGACGGTGACTTTTTTTCGAATTGGAGATTTCACGATTCCCGGGGAAAATTGTACGAGAAATTATGACCGACGGTTATAGGGGAGTACCCGCAGGTTAGATGGTAATTGCTCGTAACCAGTCGAACAAAATTACTAGTTATTAAATTTCAAATTGCTGAACAATTTCTGTATATCATTAATTGACAAATCAAATATTTAATTAGTAACTGACTGTGAATTGAGCAATTTCTAGGGGAAAATATATAGGGACTATTGGTATCGGTTACGGGGGAATCCCTGTAGGTTATGTTATGGTTCCTCGCGGACGTTCGAACGAAATTACGGGTTTAAGAATCTTTAGGAAGATTCATTGAGGTCGTGCCGTTTCGTAACACGAGATGCACCGTTGTCGCGTTAACGTTCTCCCGTGGGTGAACGTAAATGGAGTTTATGGCGGTATGATTATCTCCTCTGTGTGGCGGGGAGTACAGCTTGCCGGTACGAAAAGGGCACGTGGAGCGGATGCGTGAATAAGCAGATGACGAGAATGGACAATTTGAAGCCGAACAGCGATCCGTCCTGCGAGAAGACGCGTCGACTTAACAAGGGATGTAAACCGGAGACCAACACCAAGAAGACCACTAAAGGTATATACCTATATGTATATACATATGTGCCTGTTACATGTTTCGTCTATCTAGTTTCAGAATCATCAAGATAGTAACGCCTTATTACTACCGAGTAAAAAAAAACTGTGTATGAAAATCAGAACAGATCACATCGATTCTATTCTACGATATAGAAAATGACGGCAGAAAATGTTCCCTACAATTACAAAGCCCTATAATTACCCGATGATCTTAGGCACCTGTCATATTTTTATCCTGACACGAGTAGGCGCTCTTCGAAGTAAACCGAGACTAAATCGATACGCGATACTTTCGAAGAAACTCAAAGTCCGTTCCATTATCACGGCACAAGCTCTAGGAAAATAGTCTGTCGCTGATAAAATAACGTAAAAACGAAGTTCCACGAGATATTCTATTGAACGACGCCAACAACCCCATTGTCTGGGCCTCTAGTGGTCTGTTGTAGTCTAGTTGTACTCAAGATTGACACTAGTGTCACAGCACCCGAAGCTTCGTCGAGCACGCTTGACGATGGCATTGACGGAGTTAAAGATAGGTTATTGAAGCGTCTCCTTGGGGTCACGGACAAAAGAACCGGCAAATGTGCCGTGTAAATGCCTGAATAGGATAGGAGAACTCGGATCCAAGGAGGACGTGTTTCAGTATCTCGTAATGACCACTTCGTGATCACGCATAAATCAGTGTTCGAAATGTATAAGACCTGATTCATTCGAGTTCCATTTTCTGCACCTTGTATTCTCCAGAAACTGATACGACAAAAATAATTTTAGCAGATTTTTTAGTGTCCCTATGGACGGGAAACTTTTTTATGGCCCGACGCAATACACAGAGAGCAACCGTATTCGAATTTTTGGCCAGATGAACGTAATCATATGATGAATGTAATTTGTTTCAGGTGAACGATCGAACAAAAAGTCGGGAAAGCAGTAAGCTGGGAGAGTCGTCGATCGATCACTCAAAGGGGTGCGCGACGATCTGTTTCGGCAACAGGCAACGAAAACACAATCTTGTCTTTTCGACGTGAAACTCTAATTTTCGAATAAAAAAAACTACTGTCTAGCGTGAGCGTAAGAAATGAACATACGACAGCAGACAATATGGTTCTGCATTTCAGCGTAACGGGCAGTGATCGTGATTCGAAATAAAAGATTTTCCAAACGTTGTCTATAGAAGATAACGGGACATGTACGCGACAACGATTTCGGAACAAATTTCAACAAAATTTCGGATTATCGCTGTCGGTACATGGTCGATCATCGGTAACAGTTATCGACTGTACGCGTTGGCACTTCATAGAATTACAACTTTCATTTAGGCGTGGCCAAAAGTCACTTCAATCGACGACGTGCTAAAGCAAATAACTGTGACCGATAATGGCACTTCTTAGCCGTTCTACCGGCGTTGAAATTACTGCGTACCAATTTACGTGTGAATAATACGAAACCGTGTCCTCGAGGCAGTGGCATAGTCATTAATTATTGTTTATCTTTCAGGTTTTAACATACTCGTTTGAAGAATTAATAAAGTCGAATAAGAAGTGTCTTTGGGCACAGATAGGGTACAGGACAGATCTAACCTCCAGTGTATTTTTCACTCATTCGATGGAATGAACTCCCTAAATAAATCTCTACACGTATACATATTATTTGAATAAATTTTTGTCCACGTGTGTTGAGAACATGCAAAACCCCCAAGTTTCATGAGATAGATGTATCCTATACTTTATCTGTGCCTCAAATGTATATACGCGACTGATAAGACAAACATTGACCCCGGTTACATTTGGAAACCAAATTTATAAATAGACTACGGATATTTATGCAAACGTCGACTTTTTGGAGGCCAGTTTACAAAGAGTAAAAGCATGGAACAATTAATTTCACCAATAAAGTGGTTTATTATGTTTAAAATAAAGTGAAAACTGCAAAAATTATTGTTAAATTTACGGTTTCACTGTATTTTTTTATTTACATTTGCATTCGTTATAAATGCATAAAATCCGTAATTTATTCGTAAATTTTTTATTATTAGCCCACTATGCTACTGGTTCGACGATTAATGAGACAGAAAAGAACCTCTAGTTTCAAGAATTAACACGAAACGACTGCCGTTGAGATTCTGTATGAAAGACATTCTCGCTAGAGTATAATACATCGTTGAAAGCCCCGTTCGAATTTCCAGCGTTGTACGATTTATTGATCGTAGACTGCGTAGAGATCCCCCTGATTAGGAAATAGTTTATCTTTCTCTCGAGACGTCGAAAAATGAAGTGGAAAAAGATCGAAAGAAAAGAAGCAGACGGTCCCCTTTGTGTCTAAGGTGTCCGTTAACTTTGTCTTCCTCTGGTCGAAAGGGAAAAGTAACATGGCGTCGATGGCGGGCGCGTTCGGTTCATCGAATTCCATTAGGTTTACGCACACTTCTATCGTACTGATTTTTTGTTCAGGCTGACTCTCTGTTCAGTTTTCCCGTTTTGACTAGTGGTGTTTACACTTAAAACCAGGTACAATGTTTGTGGACAAAGGTACAGTTACTTACAGCATCGAGTATACACTCATAAATTAGACTGCGAATTTTTATGTATTTAATTTTCAACATAATTGAACTTTTAATAGTGGAAGTAAATGTTTACTGTCAGCTTGTGCAAATGGATCTGTGAAAATATGTATTAGCATAAACATTTGCAGTCTACTAATAACAAGAAGAAATTCATCAACTGATCATTCCCGTAGAATTTCTTAATAGCGATTTAATTCAACAAAATGATTTCTTCTTCAGAATCCCATATAACATTTATTACCATAACTTGATGAAGAAAAGAACTATCAGCATTTTAATAATGTAATCCCGATTATTGTATAGTTTAAATCGAGTACTGATTTTTCTTGTTCGTTTCGATATTTCTTCTTGTATTCTGTATAATAAGCGTTTCATATTAGTATACGCTGAATTTTGCAAGTAACTGTACATCCTTTCTTATAGGTAATATACAGTGTTTGATGTGAACTATGTCTTCTATGCATCCAACGGTTTCCAAACTTTCTGGAATTTTCAATAACATTTCGACCGTGATTTCAACGAAATGTATAATATTTAATCGGCTGTATAATAGTAACAGAAACTTTTCTGTGATAAGGAAGTTTAACAGTGAGGTAAATTACAAATTTTTAAGTATCAAAATGATGAATAAAAATCGAAGAATGTTTGTAAAGACCCTATCGTTGGAACACGTGAGTGAAATTTTTTTTAGAAATTATTGCCCTTAAGTTTGGGAACCGCTGCCTTACGTAATAAGCACGATTTGATAATTAATACCATTTCTCCGATATTGTACTAACAATCCTTCTCGTCAAGACGTGTAACACTTCGCATAAGAAGAAAAAAAAAAAGAAACGTCGATGTATACAGTTGTTATATGTGTCTCGTATTATCTCTGAATGGAAAACGTAAAATAATAACGAAAGCCAGATGAGCATGAAAATCAAATTAACATAACGCAAGGTCTCAAGCGTTCTCGTGGAGTCAGAATCCTAATATGATCGATTAGAGCTTGATCCCACGAGATGTTCCATTGAAACTATAGAAATCAAACCTTTTCCCTGGATACAATATTGTATTTGTTTTTAAGTCTAGATGTATACAGAACAAAATTCGATGAATAAGGTCAGCTGACAGATCATGACGCCAGCCATCGCATGATGCATCCATGTACAGGGTGACCCGATTAATGTGATCATCCAACATATCTTCCTTATTTGTAGATGCAAAACTTTTATGAACTAAAGTAAATACTAATTTTAAAATGATCTGTTTCATTCTAACGTGAATAAAGTAATTCTTTCCAAGTTATTTTTAAGATAAGGATTACAAGACAATTTAAATGATTCATTATTTCAAGTGCTATGTTTAATTTTATTTTTATGCCAGAGATATTGTAAGTGGTCAACTTAATTGAGATTTCCTGTATTAATATCGATCGAGTATGAGGATGAAATTGTGGTTGGCCGGTGTCAACGATTGTAGACTAGATTACATATGTAACACCATATCATCATTACGCATTAAAAAGAAAAGAATGGAAAAACGAATCTATCGATAGGGTAAGGATAGCATTGTCTACGTTCTATGGTCTCTTCTAATTACTATCATTAAACGTCTATTAAGCGTAATTAATAAATATGCTTCACCAGTCTCTGTGTGGAACTCAATGGAGGTTCTCCGTGTTTTAACTGCATTGTAACATAGCAGATCGATAGAAGTATAATATATGCTACCGATTAGACGTCCTTTTAATACGGGAAAGCGGAGTCGAATTGTTTCCAAGTTGAATCCGTCGCTTTATTCGTACAATTCGCAATCAAAACGCCTTTGCAACGGTTGGTACCGGTTGTTCAATTACGCCGTTAATGTTTCTTCGATTATCGATCGTGTTGATAGTTTAAATTCGTTGGCGGAATCGAATCATCGCGATGAAGAATCAGTTTTCTTCGGGATTTCCCCCGCTCGCACGCACCAGATCAAAAGACGCGCGATGGTTATTGGTTGATCAGAGAAAGAAAGATGTCTTGATAGAAAGTAACGCTGAGGTTTTAGTTGGCTAGGCATTCGAATCAAATAAACATTTCCGAAATCAAATATCTTGTAGTTCGTGGGAAAACGTCGGTGATTTATTTACAAGCTGACGTTATTACTGAGCGCAGAAATTGTATAATGTATCTACTTACTTATTAAATAATTGTGTAACCGTTACACATGTAATAAAAATCCAATGTTGTCAATAAAAACTAAATATTATATATAAAATAACGATCGATTGTGTTAATTGTTTTAAGATCAGGGATGATGTGTCGATTAAAATAAAGAATAAAATAATTCTAGACACTTTGTATAAAGACAAGCACATTTTATTCGTTAAAAAACATTATAAAAATTACAAAAGTTCTGATGATCAAATTGCCATTACACAAACAACCACATATTAAAAAATTTGGACGGACTTATTTTACTTGAAACAGTCATATATTACTTGACTCTTCATTACAATCATGTAAGAGTGTTCAAAATACAAATATATTGGCAATTTTTTGTGACACAAATTGTGTACAAAATTTTAATACGTATTATACATCTAATAAATGGACGGAATTATTAGTATTACTTATCCTACATATAATATATATAAAAATGTATAAAAGATATAGAATGCATTAATTTTTTAGGCAGCTATGTTATTTTAAACTAGAGGAATGATACTGCTGTTGTTGATATGCATTTAAGCAAATTATGCAAAAGGCATTTATCAAGTTTTGGAGTTTAAATTGTCATGTGTGGACATTGAGTAAATGTGCTCTAAGAGATTCAAGTTTTGATTAGTTCTTCTACATAATGAAAATTGCTGTTTGAAAACATGTGGTGATATCTACTTACTAATTTTATGCCATAGATACAGAAAGTTGTCTGGAATAAGCTTTCCCTTCCCATTCCTGGTCGGATGGCAATGTTGAATGCCGTAATTTACAGATACGCGATCCATACTTCAGCATAACCATTATAATGCAAACTACAAAAAGAGTTAGGCATGTGGCCGCCGGCCAAAATATGTGCAGTCCCATCTCGGCGTAATTTTCTAACTTAAGTTATCCTCAGAATTCTATTGTTTTATCTTGTGTATTTGCTACACCTGTCTTTAACTTTGGCTGTGTAATGTATTAAGTGATCTAACAGTGATAAAGATGCGACGTTTGTATGTAATAAGGTCAGATCTAATGTCTAATGAAACTTCTCTTTTTAACACCTGATTAGATTTCACTTTCGCGTTTTTGCATCTCCATATACTCTTGTGTCTGAGGTGCAGCTCTATAAGATTTGGGATTATGATACTGTAAAGTTTCTTGTTTCTCAGATTGTAAAGCACGCCCTGGCTCTAATTCACTTAAATCCAATGGAGGAGTTTTGTGTGGAAGCACTGTCCACAATGGTTGAATCCACCTGTTCCCTAATGAAAATAACACCATGATTTGTAATTGAAACAGGCTGATGTTCACAAAAAGGTATGGATTATTAGAAACTTACCAGTATGGGGGCTCTGCCAATAGTCTCTGTGTCGAGAACAGAAACAAAATCCGACATTCAAAATACACAGGAACACGAATAACAGAGAACAGATAGTGATAGCGATATAAAATGGTGTGAAGTCACCGTACTCGTGCTTCACGAAGAAGGGATTCTTCAGGTAATCTTCTCGCTCGTCTAGAATGGACATTTTTATAAACGTTAGACTGAGATACTTCTGAAAAAGACAAAGATAGTATCCCTTCAGCACATAAACGTTTTATAGGGCTTATTTTACATATCGACTGAAGCGAATTCACCGATAAAAATTTTTATAAACAAACACTCGTTAAAAATGCATTCGGTAGCTAGGTATGCGAAGATTGACAATGTTATACCTAATACGGATCATCTTAATAAATGACGAGGGCAAAGGAAACAAATGACGCCGGATTAGTTAGTATGTCACAAAATCATTTTATTAAAGGAGAAGAAAATTCACGTCATCTGTACTCAAGGAGGCGAAGGCGTGGCGTGAGGTCAATATTACGAAATTGAATTTAACTTGTAACTAATATTAACTTGAATTTGAAGCATTGATATTACTTACATTGTTCGTTATACGTAATCTTAATGAAAACACAATCGTCAGGTTGTATTCGAAAATTTATAAGACGAAAAGCTCAGGAGGACAGAATTTAGAGTTCTTAGATGGGTTAACGAAGTCATATGGACATATTACATACCGTAAAGTAATTCGTATTCTTCCTTGACTCCTTCTTTTGATTATTAGTGGAATTATTGCTATCTAATATTGTATGCAATGCAATACTAACTGCATTAAGTTTACGACGCCATCATCTGTATTACACCCATCACTTAATACTTTGGAATCTGTTACACCAAATTGTATTTGGGCGGGGCGTTGAATGTGGTGGGAGAAAAGAATGCTTTACGTCCTATTTACATGTAACAAAACAATCAGTCGGTCATATTTTTAAAAGGCTTTGTTTGAGTTTTTATTACAACACTGTTATTATTTCATAACAGGTGAGTCTTTAATTAATAATCAAACTTGTAACCTGAAATGTAAAAATAGTCCAAAAGGTAGTGGCTTCATTTACGACAAAATGCCCAAAGCTACTAGCTACTTACAACTCTGCAGTACATACACAGTACATCTCACACACACGGGGTCTTTTGTACACGCCCCGGGGGTTCTATGACCCCACATTTCACACACACGTGGTCTCTTACGTATGCCTGGGGGTTCTATGACCCCACATCTCACACACACGGGGTCTCTTACGCCTTCTCCGGGGGTTCTATGACCCCACCGGTCCAAACACACGGGGTCTCTTACGCATGCCCTGGGGGCTCTATGACCCCACATCTCACAGACACAGGGCCACTTGCACATTCTTCGGGGGTTCTATGACCCCACCTCTCCACCACGAGGTCTCTTACGCATACCCGGGGGTTCTATGACCCCACATCTCACCCACACGGGGTCTCTTACGAATACTCCACGTAACCCCAGAAAAGTAAAGTGAGTCGAAAAGATACATTGGATGAAATATCTATTCCTATACCACATCTGTGATTGTACAAATAGTTATTTTTATTTCTTAGTGGCTATAATACACATATTTTCAAGGGATACATCAGTGGTGGTGTAATAAATTAAATTGCTTTGGAATCCAACACTTTTCAGAAATTCTAAACGACCCCAGTTTAGTAGTGACTTCACTTTATGGCCAATATTTTCCTTCTCAATTGAAGTTAAACTTTTTGTACCTGATCTACAAATATATAACGTTATCGTGTGTGTTTGATTACAAAAAAAATGATATCCTATTAGAAAGGTCAGAAATGCTGGTAATTACCTTGTGTCTTTAGCATCATTTTGCCTAGATTGATCTGAAGCTATTTTGTTAAAATTGGATCCACATGTTGCCCAGCTTGCAATACTACATAAAACTGGAAATTCAGTCGATGTAAATCCACATTGCTCCAAGTAATGTTTGCCAATATATGTTGCATAATCACATCTGTGATGGCAGCAGAATGCAATTACTAAGCCATTAACATTGCATTTAGGTTCATCTTGCATTGCTTGAACTAAACACCTTATAGTTAAATCTGTGAAACAATACTACTTACAGTATGTTACAATTAAATACTACATTAAAATTGAATATACCTGTAGCTGCTCCACACAAGTGTTTGGCAATGCCAACTTTATAATGGAACTTTTGAATCTCTGTAATGTTATTCAGCTTCAGATCAGCAATATCAGCTCGTATCCTTTTTATCACAAGAGGAGATTGTTCATTCTTCAACTTATTGTCACTTTTATGCCTGTGACTTGAGCGATCTACCAACAAAATGCAACTATCTTTTTTATCTTTTATAATTTGGCCCAGCCAATATGTCAGTTTGCCCTTTCCTGCTCCAAACTCAATAAAACATGTACTATCTTGTATAAGACCAACATATTCTAAATGTGATAGTAATGATGAGTTTTGTAAGAGGTGTTTCTTAATAGTCCTTCCACAGGATTCATCATTTATTTTACTTTGAAGTACTTTGTGTTGTAATACATCCTCTGAAAACAGTGGTAACTTCTCTGAAAAATGAAATATAGATTTTTCTAAGCACTTTCAAAACAAATAATAGTGAATGCAATACCTGTGATACTTACCATGAGCAGCCTTGACTTTATCTATGACTGCATCTACAACAAGTTGACTGAGTTCACAGAGTGGTATGTGTGATGGTATTTCACAATGTCTGTCCACATTAATTCCTTTGACTATAAATGAAGGCTGTGAGTCGATTACTCGCTTAGCATTACACACCTTTAAGTGTGCAGACAACCGTGATGCATAGCAAGTACTGCAAAGAATCTATAAATTTTATGCGCATGAAAGAGGGTGTTGTATGTCTATTTTTATAGAAATACACTTACTGTCTAGGGTCAAGCGGGCACTTTACTCGTTTCTTTCCAATTTCTTCATCACCAACTGAAACATCCAGTGAATTTTCTTGATGTTCACCGCAATATTTATTCCCTTTTCTAACCGTCATACGACAGAAACGCTTTTTTCGTTTCACAAAGTACATACAATGACTGCCTTCTGTCATTCTGATGACTGTTTAATTAATTGTAAAGTTCCAAAATCTTCTAAATTACTTTCGTTGAAACGTTAACTAACAAATTTCTTTGGATCAATTTAAAATAAGAATAACCTATAAATGAGAACCTACAGTTTTTGTTTTACTAATGCATGTTAAAATAGCAAACTGCTTTCTCCGAATATGAACCACGTGTCGACTTCAAACACACACGAAATATAGAGTAGACTTGACATCCAATCACTGATCAGTGCATCCAAAGTAATTTTCTGTTACATCTTTTGGGGTCTTCAGAACCCCCTTACCATTCTAGTGAAATAACAAAATACATTTGTATATTTGTAACAGATAAATTCAGAATAGCTGTAGTTTCATAAATAGTCTATCAAATCTACCTTTTGGACGGCGGCTTAAAATTTCTCTTGCGGGAATGCCTACCGTAATGAGCTATCTCGTAGCCGTGGGATTCCGAGAATCGGGTGACGTCACGGCGTGCGAGCGAGAGCGGTAGAACGAGCCGCGGTATCGGTGCTCTCCGTCGGTGTTGACGCGTGTCGAGGAATTTCGGAGGTCTATGGGGGGGAGATGTGCGAGCGAGAGAGTACAGTAGAGCGGCACGTATCGGTGCTCTCCGTCGGTCCAACGAGCTAGTGAGTTGCGTCACCCAGTTTATTGACTTAGCCGTGTACGCCGTGTACCAAGGTCGTACCATCCCGTGCAGGTCTGTGCTTGCTTCCTCACTTTGTCGTGAACCGTCGCGGAGGGTGGTCGCGCGTCTCATACTCGTCCTTTCTCTTGTTACTAACCCATTGTTTGTTGCAGGCATTCGACAACCATCAATTTATTTACTGTGCATATT